ATTGTTACGGACTTGAGGTTCGTGACAATAAAAATTGCCGATAGGATTACCTAAATTAACACTTTAATTTTTTTTACACAAATTAAAGTTTAAAACACCAATAATTAAGCACACTAATTCACTTTATTCCGCTCCGAAGCTTCGCTTGTCTCGCCAAATTCAATACTTCCCCGATCGCACCTTGCAGCGCCTATAAATACACATTAGTACTGAATCATCCAGAACATTCAAGTAAATACGCGCACCAATCGACAAAGCGCCGAAAGTTCGAGAGTCCGCTTCCAGAAGCTTAGTTCTTCGTTTCGACAACAGATGGCGCTGTCGGTTGAAAGATTAGTGATATCATTTTCTGGAAAGCTCACCCCTCGCTCCGTTACCCGACACTAGATGGCGCTAGTGCCAGATGTCAACTTAGCCGCGCAACAATATTTCGCGTCCTAATTTGTTTTTATGTGTTATGTATACATTTAAAATTTACTTTTAAAAAGTTAATAAAATTATGGATTACATGCATCTGTTGCTAAAGGAAACGCTCTAATCATTTGAGGATTACACTAATGGATAGATAATTTAAAAATCTATATTCTACACGTTTTATTTAATTTCTTAAGTTCGCTTATCTTTTTTAGTTGAAATAATTCCAAATATTCGGGCGTATTTTTACACGATATATTGTAGCGAGAGCGCGTGGATAGTATAGGACTGAACGCTTTTTTTTTTTTTTTTTTTTTTGCCCCCGAAGCAAATATGGGCAACCCTCCGGAAAGCGGGGTAGGGAAGTGGTGAATGCTCATAGCATACCACGCAGCCGGCTGCGTGGTTATGTGGCGACTTTTACCCACTAAACACCACCTTTTAGGAAATGGCTTAACGATCTGACTGGAGATCTCTAAGCCGTATATGAACGCGACCCTCCTTGGCAGAAAGGAGGGCGCAAGGGACTGAACGCTCAAGGTCTTTCGCTAGAGGAAACGTCTTAATATGCTGTACGGTATCGTAGTAACAACATAAATAATATCATGGTTTTTACTTTTGTTTCTGGCATGATAGAGATCATTAAAAATCAGCATCTTTAAATCTCACATTTAATGAATGTCGCATCTATTAATGTGGCGTTCTTTACATTTAAGATGATAAAAGATTATTTTATGAATTTTTCGTTTTACCAAAATACAATCTTCGAATTTTTCGAATGATTTATATTCATTATATCCTATTTCCTACCTGGAGTTGCTTTCTACTGTGCGAAATGTTTTTTCACAATAGATTTCCATTTCGGAAGATTGCCTTTGCCATTCCGAATATTAGTCCGGCCAGATAGACAGAGATTTTTTTAAAGTTGTTGTTTATATCTTAATAGCAAGCAAATGAAAGCAAGTTATTTAAATAATGCAGACAGACACTTTAATTTTATTTATATGCATAGATTTACTTATATTCGTGGTAGAGCCATGCTGCAGTTATATATAGTAGTATAGTTGTAGCACGAATGGGTCGGCTCGACCGGCGAAGGACCACGCTCTCACAGAATACCAGCGTCAAATAGTAGCTTAATGTTGCTGTGTTTCGTATAGTGAGTGTAGAGAACCGGAGACCCTTTTTTTATTAAGTATAATTTATTTGTACTTGTTCCTTATTTCTTATTATAAATAAATTAAAAAGTGGTTAAGTATTTGGCCGCGTCACTGCGGGCTACGGGTTCGATCCCGCAGGGAAAATGTATGGGTCTACAAATAATAAATCCACGACAGGATGTTTGCCATTGTGCAATTCATTTATGTAGAACACCTCCATGATACAGGAGCATTTGTTCGTAGGGATTTATTTTTATTTAAAAAAGGATACAAATGATCAAAATAGAATATTCTGAGAAAAAATAAAATTAAACAAAAACGCATCGTAGTATAAATTATTTAATTAATTAGTACTGTAGAGTTTAGTTAAATATACACTTTAACAAACGAGGTAATAAAGAGTTTAAAAAAACAATTTATCTTGTTAAAACACGAATTATTTCTGTCCTTTGCATTCTAAAACAATTATTAGTATTATATAAATTGTTAACTTTGCTATTTGCATAAAATACAAATGAAAATGTTTTTTACACAGCACTGTAGACATCATCAATTGATTTTTAAATCTGTATCGTTACTTCGTTTGTGTACAATAAACAAATAGCAGTAAAACATTTACAGAACAACACAATGATGTATTACGTCTAAGGTACATAAATTACAAATGTCTTAAACATTGGGGTTGTTTGGTTGTTAAAAGCTTTTATTAAACTTGCAATATTTGTTTGTTAGGGTCAAATCTTGCAACTGAATTTTAAAACAGTTATTCTCAACCGATTGAACTGAAATTTCGCATAAACACATTGTTGCAAACCCGTAACATTCATTGCTATGCAGATGACAGCACTGGTGATGCTCTTTACACCGGCCGAGCCAATATTTCTCGGGAAAACGTCTCCGAGTGCCGGGACAAACTTGTGTCTGAAGTCGAGCCTTTGCTGAACAGAGTCTCGGATTGGGGGCGACTAAATCTAGTCCAGTTTAACCCCCAGAAGACACAAGTTTGCGCGTTAACCGCTAAAAAGAACCCCTTTGTCGTATCTCCTCAGTTTCAAGGCACTCCCCTTGTTGCCTCAGCCAGTATCGGAATCCTCGGCGTCGACATATCGAGTGACGTGCAGTTTCGTGGTCATTTGGAAGAGAAGGCCAAATTGGCCTCTAAAAAGCTTGGCGTGCTCAGCAGAGCGGGACAGTATTTCATGCCGGCACACCGCCTGCAACTTTACAAGGCGCAGGTTCGGCCGCACATGGAATACTGTTCCCATCTCTGGGCTGGGGCTCCCCAGTACCAGCTCCTTCCACTTGACCGCATCCAGCGCAGAGCAGCTCGAATCGTCGACGACCGAGTGTTTTCCGATCGGCTCGATTCACTGGCACTGCGAAGAGATGTTGCATCTCTTTGCATTTTCTTTCGCATATAGCATGGAGAGTGCTCTGAGGAATTGTTCGGATTAATCCCAGCCGCCAAATTTCGTGAACGCACTACGCGGCAAACGTCGCGATACCATCCACATCATCTGGGTGCTTGGCGGTCCACCACTGTACGTTTCAAGAGGAGTTTTCTTCCGCGTACAACCTCTCTGTGGAATAGTTTACCACCAGCGATTTTTCTGGACCGATACGACCTAGGGACCTTCAAGAAAAGAGTGTACTCCTTTCTAAAAGGCCGGCAACGCACCTGCAATTCCCCTGGTGTTGCGGTTGATCATGGGCGGCGGTAGTCACTTAACATCAGGTGAGCCGCATGCTCGTTTGCCCCTCTTCTATAAAAGAAAACAGATACTTATGCAAAAGTTTGGATGACAATGCATGGTTAACTAAATGACGTCATTCTAATTCCAATAAGACGGAACGCCCAAGATGGCGGACTAGTTATTTCGTAATAAATAACAGTACTATAAGCCATGACTCATGATAATTCATTAAGACGAGGTCTTAGCACGATTTCAAATTCGTTTTTCACCCGCGCGTCCCGCAGTGGGCGGAGCGCAACCGGTTGTCGGAGAGCGCAGCGTGAACACAGTATGCGCAAAGCAAGCAGACAATTCACCTCCAAACAAAAACTTTTCCGTGAGGTCTCCTGTTCGCAACACTACTAGGTATTATAGTAATAATATTTTGAGTACCTACTCACTAATATCAAAACTGTTTACGAGGTCTGGAGTCTGGACATCACACTATATTTTAGTTATCAATATTTTTTTAAAGTCAGTTTTATGATATGAGCAGGTACTTAGTCAACTATTTACATACATATACATTTAAAACGCCAACTCACAAATTCTAAAAAAACTCAAGTTTCTTGGCAAAATAGCTAAAATAACAGAATAAGAATAGTTTCAAATAAAACCACTTGAAAATTCAAATTTATTTTACTGTTTTGTTTTACCTTGTTGTTCCCATAGCGATTATTAAAGTACACCTTCGGGTCGCTCCGTCAAGTCCGGAGGTAAGAACTCATCATACCTAACAAAACGAGCCCAAACTCGGCACACCTAGTAGTACTCGGCGATCAGTTCCAATAGCGATTATTAAAGTACACCTTCAGGTCGCTCCGTCAAGTCCGGATTTAAGAACTCATCATACCTAACAAAACGAGCCCAAACTCGGCACACCTAGTAGTACTCGGTGATCAGTTTCAATAGCGATTACCAAAGTACACCTTCAGGTCACTCCGTCAAGTCCGGAGGTAAATACTCATCATACCTAACAAAACGAGCCCAAACTCGACACACCTAGTAGTACTCGGCGACCAGTTCCAATACCGATTACCAAAGTACACATTCAGGTCACTCCGTCATGTCCGGAGGTAAGAACTCATCATACCTAACAAAACGAGTCCAAACTCGGCACACCTGGTAGTACTCGGCGACCAGTTCCAATTATATGAGCGCCGCGCCGGCGCGCCGCCGTCGCCGTAAGTTCATGTCGACGCGTCGTCGCCGAGTAAAGTACGCGGCGCGCCGTCGTGAAGAGTCGCAACTTGCTTTCTTACTCGCACGCGCGGCCCGACCGCATTAGTTTGCCATTGAAGAATTTGAAGAATTCGCCGAACATCTGGAAAATGCCGACTCAACCGACTCTGAATCCGAAACAACTGTGACACCTGAAAGGGATCAAGTTCTAAACAGTGTTTGCAGCCCCCTCCAACTATTAAAATGAGCACAAGCACAAGATGGCATAGCATTTTGATGATGCTAAAAAGCATTTCTAATGACGCAAATTGACAGCCTATAAACACACTTCGACGAAATAGGACGAGGTGAACTCGTATTACAAGATACCGAATACGAAACCATTCTGGCTTTGATAAATTTCTAGAGAATTTTAAGAAAATCGTTGATGTTCTAAGTTCAGAAACCGAACCTACTATGAATCTGGTTCTAGTGTTTCGGTCAGAAGTGAAAAAATTGCTTGAAGAAGCGAATGATGATAGCCTCTTGTAAAGCTAGGCTCAAAAATAACATGCTTGAGGGTTTGGAATCCCGACTTTCTTTAACCGATGTGGTCATTGCGGCAACTTTGCTTGTTTGTAGATTTGATGCCATTCATGAAATTTATGAATTTATGCAAAAAAGAGAGGTCACTAAGGTTTCATTCCTATCAACAATGGTTAAAACCAGAAGTCGCTTGACAACAGAAGATATTCGTCAAAATGAAGTCATTGATTCCGCTAAAGCTGGACTGACTTCTTCTACTAGTTCTTCAAACTTTTTACTGGATTTAAGGCGAAAACACAGCACCGCTCAACGTGATTCCGGGAGTGTTGTAGAAAACGAATACTGGAAATATTTCAGTACAGCATGTCCTGAAGATTTAGAGCCTTAATATGGAGACGTTCTACAGTACTGCATAGACAGGAAAACTTCTGTGCCATCACTGTATGCTCTTGCACGCTCAATTTTGAATTTGTCACTTTATCCTATAAAAAAAAACCAGCGCGCCGAGCGAGAGAGTATTTTCCACAGCTGGACTCGTGATAACCGCAAAACGTTCACGACTAAATCCTTTGAGGCTAAATAGGATAGTATTTATCCATGACCATTATGTATTTTGCAAAGAATTCTTAAAGAAATAGACGGTGTTTTGGACATTGACATGCATATTTCCATTTTGATGTTATGCTATTGTTATTGATATTTCGATATTTTATTTTTTTTTCTGTATTTGATTGAGCCTTAAAAGTATCAAGCGCCAACAAAACTTACATTCTGTAAATGTATCTGAAAGAACATATGAAATTATCTCACTAATTATAAATACATTATACTCTTCGATCAATGATTATATATATATATATATATATATATATATATATATATATATATATATATCACGTTTACTGAAAAATATTTGTTTCAGTATTTTTAGTTGAAGAAAGACTGAGCGTTTTGAATCACAGCACTGTCATCTATCATATAAGTAATTATGTATTTAAAGTACCTAGTATAATCTTCGATCAATATTACTATATATATATATATATATATAAATATATATATATATATATATATATATATATATATATATATATATATAGTAATATTGATCGAAAATTATACTAGGTACTTTAAATACATAATTATTTATATGATAGATGACAGTGCTGTGATTCAAAACGCTCAGTCTTTCTTCAACTAAAAATACTGAAACAAATATTTTTCAGTAAACATGATCGTAATTAACAAATAAGTTCATTTATTAAAAAATATAAAGCTTTTTTTAGTAACTGCAATATGGTTTTTTTGAGAAATCTTTCCCTGATAAAAAAATATCCATGGCCCACGGCCTGCCACGATGCGCCGCCGCGACGCCGCCGCCGCTGTGGAAATTATCAGGCCACGCCGCCGCCGTGGAATTGGCCATCGGCGCTCATGTCTAGCTTCCAATAGCACTTATTAAAGTACACCTTCAGGTCGCTCCGTCAAGTCCGGAGGTAAGAACTCATCATACCTAACAAAACGAGCCCAAACTCGCCACAACTAGTAGTACTCGGCGATCAGTTCCAATAGAGATTACTAAAGTACACCTTCAGGTCGCTCCGTCAAGTCCGGAGGTAAGAACTCATCATACCTAACAAAACGAGCCCAAACTCGGCACACCTAGTAGTACTCGGCGATCAGTTCCAATAGCGATTACCAAAGCACACCTGCAGGTCACTCCGTCAAGTCCGGAGGTAAAGACTCATCATACCTAACAAAACGAGCCCAAACTCGGCACACCTAGTTGTACTCGGCGACCAGATATAATAGCGATTACCAAAGTACACTTTCAGGTAACTCCGTCAAGTCCGGAGGTAAGGACTCATCATACCTAACTAAACGAGCCCAAACGCGACACACCTAGTAGTACTCGGCGACCAGTTCCAATACCGATTACCAAAGTACACATTCAGGTCACTCCGTCATGTCCGGAGGTAAGGACTCATCATACCTAACAAAACGAGCCCAAACTCGACACACCTAGTTGTACTCGGCGACCAGTTCCAATACCGATTACCAAAGTACACCTTCAGGTCACTCCATCAAGTCCGGAGGTAATAACTCATCATACCTAACTAAACGAGCCCAAACTCGGCACACCTGGTAGTACTCGGCGACCAGTTCCAATAGCGGTTATTAAAGTACACCTTCAGGTCACTCCGTCAAGTCCGGAGGTAAGAACTCATCATACCTAACAAAACGAGTCCAAACTCGGCACACCTGGTAGTACTCGGCGACCAGTTCCAATAGCGGTTATTAAAGTACACCATCAGGTCACTCCGTCAAGTCCGGAAGTAAAGACTCATCATACCTAACAAAACGAGCCCAAGCTCGGCACACCTGGTAGTACTCAGCGACCAGTTACAATAGCGATTATTAAAGTACACCTTCAGGTCGCTCCGTCAAGTCCGGAGGTAAGAACTCATCATACCTAACAAAACGAGCCCAAACTCGGCACACCTAGTAGTACTCGGCGATCAGTTCCAATAGCGATTACCAAAGTACACCTTCAGGTCACTCCGTCAAGTCCGGAGGTAAAGACTTATCATACCTCAAAAACTCCACGGTATTCTACTATCAGTGTTGAGTATCGACATACTATATGCCAGCAGTTCAGGATATTCGTATTTCGTATCTAAATCTAATTACTCTATGTATCTAAGTATATTTATGAGGTATAAGAAATCAAAAACAAATTCGATCTTTCAAATTATCAAAATAATTTTATTTGACTGCGATTCCCGCAGTCAACCGTGCGTACACTTGTGTACGTGTCAATGTAATAGTTTGATTCTATACCTATATCAATTTTGTAAACGCATCCTTAAAAAAATCTTAACGTAAATATTGCGGCAAAAAGAGCGACACATCTCTACAGCACGAGGCCTCGGCCGGCAGTGACTGCAGTGTTGCCAGACGTTTTGAACCTTTTATCTGTATTAGACTCTGCTAAAATCTGTATTAAATCTGTATGCTATTCAAACTTAAAATCTGTATAATTTAATAAACCAAAATAGAATAATTGATCATAATCATCATCATCATTGCTTTTTTTGAAAAACAAGTAATAACTACTAACGTGATAAGCAGATACAGTTTGATTATCGTTATTATTAATTAAAAATATTTTTTTATAGAATAAGGGTGACAAACGAGCACACAGTCCACCGATGGTAAGTGGATGCTGTGGCCCATAGACATCTACATTTATACTCGCTTAAGAATTAAAACGCAGATACGTTGTCACGCCTGAGGACCAAGAGGGGATGCCTCATTTCCACTAAAAAGGGTCTCTGGATTTCTATTTTCACCATACGAAACACAGCAGTATTAAACTGGTATTTTACGCTGGTATTCTGTGAGAGCGTGGCCCTTCCCCCGTCGAGCGTCAGCAGTGGTTGCAGTGCTGCAACCATAATATAGCTGCAACGTGGCTCTACCGCGTATAAAATATACACTATACACAAAAATTTTTTATATAGCAAAATTGAAAACATTAATTTAAGCAAACAACATATTAAAACTCAAACATTTGCCAAATGAACATATAATTACTTTATTATTTTCAGTCATACATATTTTATACACAGGGCGTTAATGTAAACACCGTTATACGTGAAACCAGTGGTTTGGTTTCACTTATAGAACGTAAATTCAATGAAAAATAACAACATTTTTTTTTAGTAAAATCTCAATTTTTCCTCAATTTTGCCTGTCCTAAGCCAGGGTGAAAGGAAGTTTCATCACAGGTTATGTGTACCTATTGTGTTTTTATTGTAATATAGTGTAGGTAGCTAGCGCGGGCGGTGATCTTTACAGTGATTATGTCACGCAGGCGCATAGGTTATCCATGAATTTACGGACGGTTTCGGACAGAAACCTCTTAAATTTTATAAAAGAAAATAGGGTTTTTTTTAGAATTCGGATAAATATTTTAATATTAAAGCCTACTAACTAAACTACCTATGGTTTTAGTGAAAACGGTGTTTACACTTACACCTTGTATACATATTTTGTAATTAATACACTTGTAATTCCGCCATGATAACTAATTACGCTGTGAAAAAATAAATTAACCATAAATAATAAAATCATAAATGTGTGTAACGCGGTATCTAGTTACTTATTTTGCTTCATTCTATTTTAAATTGAATATTATGGTAATCCAATCAATAGAATTAGAAAACTCTGTATAAAAATCTGTACCCAGTGCTAATCTGTATCAAACACCAAAAATCTGTATAAATACAGGAAAATCTGTATATATGGCAACACTGAGTGACTGCACAGGCGTTTACGCAAACATCCGTACGTACTACGTATTATTTCAGAAATAAGATTATGCGGTTTAAAAAAAAACTATTAGTTGGACTAAAAAATTAAAACACTATTACGTTAATATGTTGAATGTATAAAAATCTGACAAAAAATCAGAATGATTGCTCATATGCATACTAGAATGTTTTTTACTCGTTAAAAGAAATTTTTAGAGGTATGTTCGTGATTTTTTTCTGTTGTATTAAATTAGTGGTATCATGTTTTCAACACACTATCTAACTAGCATATATCCTGGACAATATCAATACCAGCGTGAAATAGTAGCTTAATGCTGCTGTATTTCGTGTGGTGAGTGTAGAGAACCGGAGACCCTTTTTACTGGAAACGAGGCATTCCATCTTAGTCCTCACGGGTGACAACGCATCTGCATTTTGATTCGTAATCGAGGATAGATGTAGATGTCTATGGGCCACAGCAACCACTTACCATCAGGTGGACTGTGTGCTCGTTTGTCACCCTATCCTATAAAAAAAAATATTTTTCTGGGTTTATTTACTTCAGTGGATCATATACTTTGAGGCATTATAAAACTTGCATTTAGATCATGCCTCGTCTTAATAATCTGGTTCAAATACACAAAATTAGTTATTTTTATTTGGTTTCTTCTCTTTCTTGATTACAAATAACACGTGGAGGGATTTCGAACTGGTAGGTTAGTTAAAAATACAAATTAATATACCACGAGTAATATGACGTTCCGTTGTACCGATTATGGCTGATAGCCTTTTCTAGAAGAATATTTTATTATTTTTAGAAAACTAGCACTTTTTAGATTATTATATGCTGTCGCCTATATACATTTACATCTACCCTTGATCATTGAGTTATACAAAACTAGAGGAGCAAACTAAATTACCGCACGTCGAAAAAGTGTAACCACTATCCAACCGCGACGACGTAGCTTTGAAATTAATAAACATTTTAAATAAACATATATCTGTCTCACTTTCACACGTTGCGAAAACAACACCGGCGCTAAGAAATAAATAAAGATAGACACACAAACGT